GGGAGATGTTCATGTTGCTGCAGTCTGCAGTCTGGACGTTAGATGTCGCTGAAAATTACACACTGTAGCTTTAACTTTCAATGGAGCGCCCCATTGAAAGCTGCTGCTGCCGCAGTAAATTCTACTGTTCAATAGTTGTGGCCATCTTCCTTGTTGTGCTTTCTCCAGTGTTGCACAGCTTTGTCATCCCGCCCTCAAAACCCAGCCCGGTTTGCATCCAAAAAGACTAAACACACAGAGGCCCGCTGATTGGCCCGCCAGTTCCAGGGCCTGCGGCATTGATCGAGGCTAGACCACTCGCAGGCAGAAATGATTTTGGCCGCTGGCGAGTGGGGCTAGTTTACTAGCCTATATCTTTAAACCTCACAAGCTCAAACTAGACTACTGAGTTATTGCTGTTTGAAGGTTCTGCTAATTCTTGTTTCTTAACACTGTCAAAGAAATCAAAGTGTAAAGCTTATACCCAGATAAGAATTTTTTATATTTTATTATTTTTTTGTCCATATAGGGCATAAATCACTCACTGGCAGGATTAAGCCGTGACAAATGCTTGGACCTCTCTGTTATGGTTTTGTTGACATGAAATCATCTACAATTTTTCTGCACCGACTTTAACCCTTATTTTTTCTATTTTCAAAGATTAATATTTGGGAGTGTTGGCCTAATTGTTAGAGCAGTGGGACTGTACTCTGAGAAGGTTGCAAGTACCCAGTTCAAACCCCACAGTCTGGGTTCCTGAGCAAGACCCTTAACCCCATACTGCTCCCCAGGCGCCACACAATGGCAGCCCACTGCTCCCCAAGGGGATGAGTAAGCAGAGAGTGAATTTCCCAATTGTGGGACAATAAAGAGATTTATATTTGATTAATTCCCACCAGTGGAGACGCAGAGGTTTTCTGTAATTTCTAATCCTGTAGTTAATAATATCAAAAAGTTTCTATTTATTCAGTGTTGTTCATATTGACATGATGGCATCATATAGTTGCTGTAGACCCTCTGACCGTGTGTCAGTGGAGCTCTATTGGATTTAACGGAGGTGGAAATTTATACTCTGAAATGTTTGTGTTGAACAGATCGTGCAGTTTAATCGCCTTCCTCTGGTCATCAGCTTCATCGCCAGCTGCAGTGCCAACACAGGTAACATTTAGAAATTCAACATCTTTTTGGTCCAATAATATCATGACTGTAAGGAGTTTAGTTTACTTTCATGAGTGATATATGTTACAACCTTTTATGTCTTCGATGTATGCAAATGCCCTGCAGAGAGAATTTGGCAATGTTCAACTTTTTAACTGTGCTGATAACATGAATGTTGAGGCTCTTTTGAAAAAAAAAAAAAAAAGCCTCAGCAGTGGTTATGAGGCGGAAGTGCATCTGCTTGAAAAGTGGTGCATGATGCAGATAAGACCAAAGAGTAGATCTGGTTCTGTTCAGTCCTTGTCTATTTCTCAACCGACCGGTTGAGGTGGTTAGGAGCTTCAAGAAGTCAGGTACGCACATTGATTACAGGCTCAATGTCTAGTTGAATGTGGATGTGTTATAAGAGAAATCAGTCAAAACTGTTTGTGATCAGGAAGTTCAGGGGTTTTGGAATGAGCTCAGAGTTTTGAGAAAATCTGTCAATTTTTAATGGAAAGTGTTGTCATTTTCAATATAACTGTAGCTGTGTCCGGGTGTCCGCCCTAACCACTATATAGGGCACTATATAGTTAGATGATTGTTCAAATCTCTAGTGGATGAAAAATTAGTGGACTTGAAATTTCCCACAATGCACCTTGAAAAGTAGTGATCATCCATGGTCACTAGACAAGCAGATATATACTAGAATGGTTTGCGAGGGTAGCTCTCTTCACAAAGCATCATGGGTTTTATTGTCACAGCGGCCTGTTGATAACAAAGATGGCGCAGGCACCGCACAGGAAGGCAGAGTTATGTAACCAACACGGAGCAAAAAGCAGTGATCATCTGTCCGAACTGTCAATTACCGGAGTTCGCAATGAAGTCCACTATATAGTCCGCACTTTATATAGTGATTGAGGGATTTAGGGGTTAGTTTGGACACAACCTGTGTATTTTTATATATTTTTTTTTACCTCAAAGTGGAAGATTAAAAAAAAAAAAAAGAGCTGCACAGAATTGTAAACATATGCAGGGAAGGCGATTGGCTGAAATGTGCAAAAGGGTTTGTTTATGCTTAATCCAGTCAGCCTTTCTAACAAGAGCTATAAAGCCTGAGAGAGGAGTGCAGCACTAGAAAATATTTTTTTTAGTCATGAGCTTCTTGTACCTGTATTGTTATTTTTTGTAATGTGGTTTTGACTTGTGTAGAAGAACCAAAGATGACTTTCCACTGACTTGGCTGATAAAAAGAATCTAATCTCTAAAGTTTTGTATTTCTGTATCCTCAGGTCTCATCATGGGTCTGGAGAAGGAGTTGGCTCCACTAATAGAGGATCTGAGGCAGGTGGTGGAGGTGACATGAGCGTTTGACTAGCAGCAGATTTCCCCAGATTACTTCAAGCTCACCATATTCCTATCTTTTTGTTAAGCTGTTTGTGCAATGTTGCAATGAATCAGTTTATTAGACTTCTTGCTTTGTTGGTCTTGGTTTCATTATTCTTGTGTTGGGTCAAAGTCTAAATAAAGAGATTTGATTTCTCACAGCCGACGTGCGTTAGCCCCTTTTTTTCATTGAGGTATTCATGCATGTATATTTCACTCTTTGTCTGCAAAGCACCGTGAACTGAAGTAATGTGAAGAAGATGGACAGAGGACAATGCATGGTTTACACTTGGGGTAGCAAAGTTAATCATGTTAACAGGTCACAATGCAACACAGCATGTGCCACTGGGAGCATGTCATACAATAGTTACACCATGGATCAGTTATTGAGAAACCTATTTAATATGAGATTTAAATAACAAGTGCTTATCAAAAATAATACCAAGATATTTTTAACTTTTTATTAGAGGCCAATTTAGTGCCAGATAACATTTATTTCCTTATCAGCTTGTTTTTCCAATGACTCTGGTCCAGATAATGAACTCTGTCTGGTCTGAATGCGTACAAAGAAGATTTAAAATAATCCAGGGTTTTATATCAATAAATGCCTTTGGTATTTGTAATTGATTCGTTTCCTGAGGTTTTATAGACATACAGTATAGCTGAGTAGCATCAGTATAAAAGTAGAAATGAATCCCATGCTATGTGATCATTCCACCAGCAGAAAAACTGGCTCTTGCAGCACCTCCTATCATTTACATTAACAAACAGAAATCTGTGAGCTAAATGCGATTTAAACCAGCCTAGTGCATTTCCCTTATTCATGCAAAACTGTTCAAGCCTTTGTAAAAGAGTATTGTGATAAACTTTATCAAATACTGCACAGCTTTAAAATGACAATAAGGAAACAAGTATATTATCAGAGGCCATGACAACATCATTAGTGACTTCCAGCAGTGCTGTTTCAGTGCTATAATGAGCTCTAAAGCCTGACTAGGACTCTTTAAAAAAATCAATATGGTGTAACTGGTCACACACAAGAATTTTGGATACCAAAAAGAAGATTAGATTAAGATCTATAAATGATCATGTCATTAAAATCAAGAAGATTCTTGAGTAAAGGTTAAATTACAGCTACCTGAACAGGTTGTGATACATATCCCAGTATTTGTAATAGATTTATTATATCTAAAATTGAGGTGAAAATCATAAGGAATACTTGCTACTTTAAATAACCTGAAGGTTTTCATAACTCAGAAGGCTCTAGATCAAAACGGTCCCAACAGCTCAGGTTCAATAGTTGCCTCCAGTGCTGCCTCACTTTCTAAGGAAGAAATGAATATATTGAAAGGGTGCCAATGATCTTATTTTGTATAGAATCAATCTTGAAAAATATCTAATTAAGTCATTAATGCTGAAAAACAGAGCTGCAGCTTTGTATGAGTTTGGCAGCTTTATTGTGAGATGCTGTAATCTTTGCAAATCAGACCAGGTTTTCCCAAAGAAGTTCAACAATCAACAACAAAGCCCACATTTTTCAGAACATGTAGCTAAGGCTGTCATCCTTGGTCAGATTAGAACGCTGGCCAGAGAAAATTACAGATTTGTACATTGTTCCAAATGATTGGAATAACATTTTCCAATCAATTCCATGGCCATGGTTGTGTATAATCAAGCACCTATGCATGCAGAATGTTTTTACAATCATTAGTGAGAGAATGAGGCGCTCCCACAAGCTCAGTAAATTCTGGTGTGGAACCTAGAAGAGATGAAGCTGTTCTAGCTGCAAAGGATGGAACAATGTCATATTGAACCCCAATGTATTAGGAATGGGATGGCACTTAAGCTCATATGTGACTTAAGTCAGATGAGAGAATACTTTTGGCAATAGTATGTACTATGATTTGTAAAATTCTTTTTTCATGCTCCCCACTGATTTACACTAACATGTAACACACCATGTGTTATACTAACATATATGTTAATGCTGATCAAGATTCTCAGTCATCCAGGTCATAGTCATTCCGTAAAAGTTCAAAAAATATCCACTGGACTTGGTTTCCAAGATTTGAAGACGTTTCGCCACCTCTCCAGGAAGCTTTTGCAATTGAGAAAGCTTCCTGGAGAGATGGCGAAATGTCTTCAAATCTTGGAAACCAAGTCCAGTGGATATTTTTTGAACTTTTACGGAATATATGTTAATGCTTTATTATGAGCCACAGCCAAATATGTTAATGCAGGTGTGATCATCATGATCACACCTGATATAACTCTTGCAGTAAAAAAATAAAATAAAATAAAGTCTTGGAGACAAAAACTTAATTACTTAATTAGTATTTTCAAAATCTTCAAAGAACATGGTGTCAATCAATGCTGTCACATTTTCAAATACCTACAACTATCACATGCAATATTAACATATGCCATATTATCTCACTCACAAATTTGGTTATACTATAATTGTGTCATGTTAAACCACTGTATGTCATACTGTGCTTTTATCGCAGTACATTGGTTATAGTAAAACTGCCCACACTACTGGTTATTATTTTATATCCAGCTGTCATAGTTTAACATTTGTCCTACTGTCAGATGGTGTAGGGGACCAAAAGTTGGAGACCTTTTAAAGTATACTAAGTATAGTGTACTGGTCCTAATATACTACTTTATATTTAATAGTAGATGTAATATTGTAGATATCATAAACAATGCTGTCCCAATGTATGTCGTATTATGCTTCCACTGTGAACTTGCTCATACTACACTGATATATTTTTACATTTTTCACTGTCATCAATATAACACACTGCACTGTCATTGTAAAAAAATTACTATACTATATTCGGCTTTACATTTATGTTTGTCACACTCGTAATCGTCTTCTTCCAATTTATACTGGAGGTTTGTGACGCTACAATAATCTATACTTGTACTACTACCATACATATGAACATAGCAGTTTCATAGGCCATATAAAACTACTGCTATTGTAAAAAAGGCTTTATTCAAATGTTCATACATTAAAAAAAAACGGTCAAACTATACTATTTTTTTCATTACAACAGGTCATACTGTATTACTTTGTCAAACATATTTTATATGATACTGTGTCATAGTAACATAGCCATACCATATTCATATTTTGCATACTTTAGCACATCATACTAACATCACACTATATAAGGTGTCTTTTTATGCTAAAACATTTCATAATGTTTGCCAAATATTCTACTCGTGTCTTAGACATCATTTTGTTCTACCTGGTACAATGAAAATTAATCTTTTAATGTCATATTACATAGTCAGATATGTTGTACGCTACTATCATGCCACCCTTAGACCATTTCTTAATAATTAGATGTTATTAAATGTCACACTATGCTATGCTATAGTGCTGTACTTAAACGTACCATATTTAAAGATAATTGAAATAATTTATAACATTTATTGTAAAAATGGTTAAAATATAGGTATCAATACTAAAAATATCACACTGTGAGATGAATTCGAGTAAAATATTCCTGTTTCATATTATTAATAATGTTTCACATCAAAACACTTCAACCATTTTACCATCCAGTTTATCACATTGATGTTTAAATAAGTGGATATTATGCACACAGTGAAAAATAAAAGGTAAAACAAAAGAAAGAAATATCCCAACTTGTCTTTTAAAAAGTCAGAATAACGATAGAGGTACCGCAAACACTATGGCTATTATTAATTCATTTCAAAATTTCACAAGTTTTTACTCGATCTTCCAGTCGGATACATGTTTTGTATTGGTTCTGATTGTAATGCTCTGCTACAATCATCTTTTTCATCATCTGTTGAACATTATAACTCCAGTGTTGGGTTTTCTAAAAGCTATAAGTCTGTCACAACTGTCCCATCTTGCACTGCAGGGTGTCCTTCAAAACTGACCGCATTAGAAATTCACATCTTAAGTGTCAGATATAAAGTTCATTATTTACATTCAACATAGTTGAGTTTTTAAATATGCTTTTCTTCTGTGCATTGCTGCTCTTCACACAGCATCGTCCACAAACTTTAGAGAACTGTCAGAATCCTTGGATGAGTTGACGCCTAAAGGCAGTTTACTGAAAACTAATCATTTGTTGTGAAACGTATTCCAGATCTGCTTCATTCCTTCAGGTATGGTGGTATCTGTCAGAGGGTGGAGGTGTTTTCCTTTGTCTCCATGGATGATTGTCACCTTCCTTTTCTTATCTGTGACTGCAAGAAAAAAAACAAAGGCAGCAGAAGCTGATTTGAGAATTCTGGGCTTAAAAAAAAGTCATAGTTTGAAGTGTTCTGCTGGTTTTTTCACATTTCCTTTTGTTTTTGTAAAACAGCAAAGAAAGGACTTAGCAAGTGAGGAAATCTTATTTCAGTAATGAGGAAGTGGGTTTATGTTACATAAGCATTTAGTTTTAAGACCCAAATGCAATGTTGTAATGGTCAACTTTCCCTCCTCTGCTTAATCTTGGTCTTTCCCTTCATCTCTTTAAAAACTTTGAAAAACCTATTGATTGGTAAATATCTAACCCTTCTATGGGGTATATGAGAGATTTATAAATCATAAGGAGTTCACATTTTATTTCCCTTCTTTTTCAATAGGTGGTAATCTTTTCAGTTTTATTTTATTTTTTTGTTTGTTTTACAGCAACCAAGAGCTATTTTTTTTCTGTGGTTTTCAATTGTACAGCAGATTAAATCTGCAATGTGAATCAGTCTTATGAAACTAACCAGTTTCCACTGAAGGATCTTAATCCATTCGTCCGCCTCAACTCCAGATTTTGCACAGAGGTAGAAGGTTCGCTCAGGAAACACCAGACTGGGGAACATAGAAACATCCAATGTTACTTAAAAAGGACTCAGCTTTAAGAAACAGTTGTGTTCAATTTTTGCTGCAACATAAAAATAACACATTTAAGAATTAACAGAATTGGAAACCTGCAGTTTGTTTCTATCTGAAGTATTTAGTCCATTTATAACTTCTGCCTTCTTTTTCATGCCTCTATCTAATTATTGCTTTAGGTTCTGTATGGATCCTCTCCTCTTCCTCTTTCAATTGTCAGCTTATCTTCTATCCTATTAACTTCCTCTTTTTGTTTTGGCTTTTTGTTGTCGATTTTATTTTCAAGTCAAACTTTTCCCCTTTAATTTGATGCTGCCTTCATGCGGTCTAATAAAGATTATATTTTCAACTTGTAAAGTGAAAATTACCAGCGGATTGTGTTCAAGTGCTTTTGTTGTGGTAGAAAAGAGAAACCTGTTGGATCCAAAAATTATCCCGACCTGCTGCTTGGGCAAGATAGACTTCCTAATTCATCTGCTACAGGAAGAAGATGCATCAAATGCATTGACCAACTGCGAGCGTCTGATAAAATCAAACAATAACGGTCATTTAAAAAATGATGCAAGTTTCAATGAAGAGACATGCATACACACACACACATATATATATATATATATATATATATATATATGCTTAACGATGCATTATACAGAATTGTTTCTCTGCTCTCTGCCATGTTGAAAGGTCGTCTCGGCAACTCAGGTAATTTTCTCAGCTTTCCAGGGGAAATTACGCCATGAGTGGGTATTCATTTGCAATTTTCATGTTGGCCTTTGGCATTTACCATAATTACAATAAGACATGAAGGCAACATGAGATTTATATGCTAAACGATCCTTTTATTGTGCTGACTTAGTGAGAAGGCAAAAGAAAAAAATGAAAACCTTCCCTTCCTGTTTGGATGGACTGAATCTTAAGCTATTTATATTACATTACCTATAGCTGGTAGTCTTGTTTCCTCAGCTGAAGCCTCAAACTTCTGTTTTTTTTTTTTTTTAACACAGAAATGTCAAACTGCTTTGCTTTGGGGAAGTACAGCTCAGAAAACTAGGTTGCATTGTGGTTATCTAAAGGTTTTTAGGGGTTTAAGTGGGAGTAAGGTAAGAGATGAGATCTGAGGACAGGAAACCAGGACAAACACATGGCAGGGAGGAGAGTTGAAAGAAGAGCATTTTTTTTTTTTTTACGATTAAACAAACAAACGATAAAGGTGACAAAGTAAAAGCTGATGGCTAACAGTTCTATCTTTTGTAGACTGAAAAAAAAAATCTGAGTTTGTTTTGTAAAGGCTTCCAGTTAACCCCCCCCCCCAAAAAAAAAATAAAATATCTTGCATCATGTCTTGTTAATTGATTCTACAGAGACATGACAATGGCTCTGCAGAAAAACTCTTAAAAGAATTAGGTCACTTCTCTGGATAATCTGTTTGACTCACTTAATATACAAGTGAACAAATAGAAGTAAAATCTATTGAGGAATGAAGAACTTTGCAACAGATTCCTACCAACTTTGAAAGTCACCTACCAGAAGCAGTTGACTTTGTCCTGAGAATAGTCGAACTGGACTGCAGTACAGGATCTTAAATCCAACGTTCGAATAGGCTCCTCACACTGCAACAAGGAAATAAGTAACTGATTACATATTAACAGGAATACATTAACCAATAGTTTGCACATATTGTTTTATCAAAGTTATTTCGCCCAATTTCCACGAACCTCACCATTTTATCTTTAAAGTACTTAAGTTCATATCTGTGGAGAGTGAACCACCTTTGTTTCCAGCTCTACAAAAAAACATAATATTCTATTAAGCACAGTGTTAGTTGATTATTGCAGATTTCCTGACAACTGCTGAATAATCCAACGTGTAGTACGTGGAGATGAGACCAAAGTTCTTACCCTCACAAATGCTCCTTGTTTCACGAGATAGCCCTCCTTAGTGCCCAGCTGTAATGATATACTGCATCAGTTGAAAGGCAACAAATAAAACACAACAGAAGTGATGGAAATATAAAAAAAAAAATTACTAATCAGGATATGAATGATTTCTGATGGGTGCAATTTGTCAACTTTGCTGTAGAGTACAATTATTGTTTATCCTGATAGAAAGACATACATAGGAAGGTCACATTCATCACCCCTTTTCTATAAAAATACATTTTACGTTAATCATCCTTTCCATGTTTCCTGACCTTTTAGTTGCCATCATGGAAAACACTAAGTCCAGCTCTTTATCCAAACGGCTCTTAGAACCGTCTCTAAACAATAACTCACAGTAGCTGTTCTCTGTCTAACTGTGTCAGTCTCACCACCTGTGCCCCCCCTCCATCATTCTTATGTTTGTTTTATTCACTCATTTCAATCAGGCTGAGCTGTGGATTATTGCTCATTTACTTTTATTTAATCTCTGTTATTATAGAATGATGGACTCACATTTGACTCTAGTCACCTATAATATAAATAGGAGTTAAGAGTCACTACAATGTCTCTAAGCTCCCCTAGATGTAGCTGGCTGTGAAACAAGCCCAAAGCATCAGCCTTCCACCACTGTGCTTTATAACTGTGAGGTTTTTGATAGGCTCTGTTTGTTTTTCATGAAGTTTGACTGAAAATATAACAATGAAACAGACGATTCATTGCAGAATGAAGATCCACTTCAAACTGTAATTTCCTTTGTTGAGTAGGATATATTTTTTAACCATTTTGGTAGTGTTGATAAATGTAGCTTACAGATAAAAACCAAAACAAAAGAACAATAAAACATTTTCTTTTCAACAGAAATGTTAAACTTCCAAATAATAGGTTCATTTCTATGCACTATGGTCATTGAAGCAGCTTGGTTAATCTTGGGGGTGGGGGCAGGTCAGAGGTCTTTTTGAAAAAAATGGAACCAGCATCTCAACAAACATTGGTAGAACTAAGTATAAAGTGTTTTACATAGAATTCCCCTAACTTTATTTGAATATGCTTAAAAAACAGTCATCCAGGAACAACCAGCTTCTTTAGCGATGACCTTTATTGGCCAACCATTCTTGCTGATGGTAGCAATAAAAGTTTTCTGGATAACTGTCGAGTCAGCAGTATTTCCTGTAATTACATAGCCTATCAATCCAGACTGGGAGACTGTTTAGAGGCTCCTTTTCTTTACAGACAGTTTTGCCCAGTGCTTAGGTTAAAAACAGACAAAAATCTCAGAAAATCTTAATGCTATTTAATCAAATTTCATATTGTTGTTATTGTTTGTTTTTAAATATCTGACATCGTGCTCTTCCTCTCCAAAAGTGCTTTTGTTTAATTTAAAGTGTCAGTCCCAACCTCATTAATGTAAACTGTATATTTGCCTCTCTGTGTATAGCACTCTATCCTATAATTAAACTCAATTTTCTTGTCAAGTGAAGCGTTTTCTGACTCTTATTCTAGTAAAAATAATTGGGATATGACACCATGGGTTTCCATTTACGTTTCTATTATGTTTTAAATTGCTGAGTCACTACACTTTGGGTTTTGATTGTCTGTAGGACTTAATTATCATAACTTCAACAAATAAATAACCAACATATTTTACCCTCAACCTTTAGTTCCTGCACCAATTTTATTATTCTTTGTAACCTAAAATGTTTCCAAATAGCCAGAATTCAATTTTCTGTAAACAAAAAAGAAAACATATCCTGCTTTCAAGCAGCAGACATTCAGTTTCTTTAGCCGAATGTGTATGTGGTGTTGAACACTTTATTTTAAAAGCATGATTTTCGAAACCTTGCTGTACCTTGATGCAGGTAAACAGCCAGTGTCCGTATAAATATTTTTTCAAAAACAAAAGACATGTTGTATTTATTCCTTCCAGGAGATTTGCTTGGCCTTAAAGCTTAGTATCTCAGGAGGGAAGCATGGATCGTAACAAACCGGCCTGAAAACAACTTCTCCATCTTTCCACATGGGCTGTATGAGGAACATGCAAACATAGAAGTTCCGCTGAACAGAATGTCCTCATAAACACACCTGCTTTTTCAAATCCTCCATGTGAAAGGTTTGATGTATTAGTATGAGGAAGGTTATTGTAAATTCAACAAAAGTAAATGACTAGATTTACCAATCATACGGTTCTACATGAAATTAAATACAATAGTCTTCCTGAAACTTACTGGATTCTTAAACCAAACAAGGCGCAAATAAGTTAAAAACAAAAGCACTTGTCATACCGATGGAGCTGTGGGCACCAGATCATCTTTGGTCCGACCCGTCTGTATGGCGGTGTGAACTCGCACTGATTCATAGATGGACGGTTCTTCTACACGCCATGGATATGGACTCTTCAGCACCATGAGGGTCCCTGGTTCAAGAAAGAAGGCAGGTTACGCTTCCAACGCCTATTTATTGTTTAGATGATAACTAAAAAATTGTTATCACGACTCGAAATTTATCAAGATAATCGATACGGTAAATGTGCACCCCTAGTTTTGAGATACTCCCAGAGGACCAACAGATAAATGTACACTCCATCCAAATGAAGGAAGGGACTAGGGCTGAAACAATTAATCAGATTGCTCCTAATTAATCGATTATTGAAATAAACAGACTAATTTAGTAATCATATAATCGTTAACTGGAGTATAGAGACATGCCTTTAGATGACAGAGCTACCAAATTAGAGCTGTAATTACACACACACATATATATATATACACATATACATACATACACACATATACATATATATATATATATATATATATA